AAAGTCAACCCCACAGCCCTAGCTTAGCTTTTTGCTTTTGCTTCTTTTTCACGACATCATAGTTTCGGTCCTTCCAATTGGACTTCCTCAGCTTTATAGGACGATTTCCAACATACTTACCATCCATCTCTCTCATCGCCCGCACATAGTCCTAAAATATGAACATATTCACGTAAGAGACATAACATAGTGAGGTTTACGACCTCTAGCGATACATTTTATGTTTCGTAAGGGTAACAGCACGAGAAGTGCATGTAGCGAGGGAAGAGATAGTGGCTTGCAACTATTTTCTCAATTTGCAGAACACATTCCATACATACTACACATTTTAAAAAGCGGTGCTCCCATTGCCCTCACAGATGAGGCACCGTTAGCTGAGAAATACTTCAAACTCACATCTGATTCTGAAAACGCCACAAAACCATAGCCTTTGCTCTTGTTTGACCTCGAGTCCCTCACAACCTGAAAAGACAACATATGATTGGATAAAAAAATGCTGTCAGGATTTTCTGGGCTTGCTCGGTCCAGCAGCCCAACTTTGACGATATTTTAGGAGGATTATAAGATGTCAGTCTCGATCCTTTACTATCTTCGAAACCCATGAGCATCATGGCGGGGAAGCCACAAAATAAATACACTGAATCAGAGGACTGAGAGGTGAACCTCCAACCATACCAGAACCTTAATGCCTATAGTTTATCTTATCCATAATTAGAGAAGATCTAGCCCTGCACGAGTGTTGTTCAAGTTCACAACTGGAAATCCGGAAGAATTTCAGTTCTCATTATATGTTTCCACTTTTTCAAACGACGTCAGAGAATTAAGCCAAACAAGCACGACAGTGGGTTTATACACTGATTTAACAAATGCTTCATTTCTGTGAAACATTTCAAAATGAAAAGAACTCTCCCCCGATGAAGAATTCACCAGATACAACCACTTAGAACTTCATAGAAACACTCGTGAATTAAAATAAATGTTTCATAACTAAAGAGCCGAAATTCTTTACGCTGGTCACCTCAAATCTAATCACATGAATATGGTGGCAACCAAAGAAAACGTAAAGCAAGAATCTTAACTTAACAAACCTTTGCCTTTTGAAAACTGGGGTATTTACGGAAGGCTTTTGCAAGCAACTCATCGGACACCTGCAATTACAATCAAAAGGATTGCGGCTGAATTGGAAACACAGAAGCACACTGAATCAGACCTCATTCCCGAGATCGCCACAGAATATGCGGAAGTCATTTTTGTCCCATTCGGCTAGAGAGGGATCTTCCCAAACCTGAAATCCGGAACAAATCATCAGCGCATCAGATATGAGAATGTCGAAACGTGTTTCTTGATGATATTCGTTTAATCCTGAATATAGCTAAGTGGCTTCATTGATTTGTTAGAAGCGAAAACAGCCATGGGTTTTCGAAAAGGGAAAACATGTTTGTGATAAGATGTACGAGAAATAAGTACAAATGCGTAAAACGACAAATGATGTTATCGATTGGGTTTTGGATAGTACATACCATTACATGATATTATAAATTTACAATATACAGTCGACTAACCATGAAGACAATGCTTAAGAGAGGGAGGGTATCTCATTGATTATTATAATACTTCAGCTTTTGTGAGAGGCAAAACAATCTTGCGGTAATCGCCACTTATTATATTATCACGGCGCCTATAATGCTTTAAAAGGACCGATTTTGTGATTTTGTTAAAACTACCTCAAAACATATCTGATTATAAATGAATATGTGCACAGGTTTGCTTTGGAGAGTATCATACTTTCCATGAAAACGAGACGATTTTGCATGACCACTTGCCTACTGGCATGTCCGTTAATAAATAAATAAATGACCTGTTGCTCAGCCCAAACAACACACGACAATAACTGTATCAGTAAGTTGCAAACAATCAAAATCTAAACTCAAATCATATCTGAACAGAAACAATATGACCTGAACACCCGTATTTTCTCAGTTTCTTGCTTTTGCAACAAGACTTTATGCAAAATATTAGCGAGTGCATTCGTGACACACCTGTCCTCCGCCTGCTCGGAGGTATTTCTTCGGCTTGGCTGGCCTCGAATCCTTCGATTTTGACGAGGAAGAAGATGAAGGATGTTCATTTTTCTTTTCCATGGCTTCAATATCAGATGCAAGGGCCTAAAAAAATTCCACTCCTCACTAAAGATTAGTATTCGTTACAAGCCGAATGGAGGGCAAAGTAACATACAAATGTAACCGGTGCCGTGACAGTTTGCCCTGTTGTCGTACTGCTCGAGAGCGCTTCAGAATTGTAGATTTTTGGAGCGCTTTCAATGGTTGCGGACTGCCTTGCAGGCTGTTGACGGAGCTGAAATCAACTTTAAAGATGAGAATGACCATATATCCTTGAAAAAGCAGAAAAACATACTTGGTGAGGCAGAAATAGGTTCGGCATAGGCATGGGAAATCCTGGCGGAGGTCGAAAAGCCTGGTTGGATACAAACATGGGTGGTGGTACAGGAGGAGGCATTATTGATACTCCCGGAACTTGCAACGTCGTGACTCGTGGCAAAAATGGTGCCATCACAGTAGGAGTTGGAATTGTTTGTATCATTGGAGCTGAAACGCTGTGAATGAAAATTAGGAAGTATGCGAACTAACCACTGGGCGAAACATCACGGTTAAGTATAGGAAAACTAATGCAAAGTAAAGTAAAATCAAAATTTTCACCTGCAGCAATAACAGGTATATTAGGTGACACTGTGATGGCAGGTGCTGTAGTAACCGTAACAGCAGTGGCATTCGTCTGAGCATCTGGCACCGTCTCCTTTGCTTCCTCGGTTTCAGGGACCTTCTTCTTCTTTTTGGGAGGTGGAACATCATCCGCAATAATGGAAGATATTTCGCTCTCGAAACTAAATAATCGAATTGAGCGAACGAAGAGCACCTTCTCTTACAATAGGATTTACTGAAGAAACAACGCTTTTTCAAATAAATTGCATCTGATCTCTCTTTACAAAATGATATAGGAATAGGAGCCCATGAATTTTTGATCAAGTCAGACATGAACAGAGGGGTCAATAGTCTTATGCTTTGTACGACCACTGATATAAGATGTAGTAAAATACTTGAAGTAAAAATCGAAATTACCTTTTCCGAAAAAAAGCCATGAAAATTTTTATTTGCCTCGAGAGGTGAGTTGTTTGTTCGAGAATGTCAAGTGAGTCAATGTGCACGCTACGAAAATACTGCGAGCAGTCTTCGATGTTTAGCGACTTACACCGTACGGATTTGAATATATCTCTCTGTGCCGATTTATGTAGCGGCCTGAGTCAGGATCCAGCGTATGATGGGATAAACGTACAAGGAGGACTTATTAGAAAATTGATTCACACAGAGCTAAAGGATGCGTAAAAATTAAAACTACTGGGAAAGCCTAGTTCAGATGAAGAGCTAAGGTAAGAAACGACGAAGTAGTTCCCGTTAGAGAAAAAGGAGGTTTCGAAATTCAACTCAGGAACAAATTTGCGTGTGCTGAGCTTCAAAATCAATTTCAATACCTCTCAGCTTCCCGAAACATATTTTGAGAGGAATGAATATATAAAAGCTCAGTAACTGTGCATAAGTCCTCCCGCACCTGATAACTCCACCTATGCGCGTGACCCTGCCCCGGTCGTTAGAGACATGTCTATAACAATAGTCCACTCGGGGTGCGAAAATACTCTCAACCCCGTAATCTTCATCAAATGTAGTAGGAATAACCGCCCACTGTAGCGGGTAAACAAAAGTTTACACACAAGATGGCAGGAAAGCAACCATTTGATGAAATATTTAGATTAGGACTGGGACGAGCAAACACTATGCACCTCACTGCTCTTCGCGATCAGGGCGAGATGAGAAGAGAGGAACACCCTGTAAAGCTCGAAAATGAGACACCATACTCAACATGAATACAAATTTCAAGAAAGAAAAACTATGAGAATAAAATTCAGAAAAACTTACAGAGCTAGTTCCGCGTCGAGGTCCGTCATCAGCAAGTGAACTGTCGAAGAACGCCTTCCCTTTCTGGAAAAGATGAATGCAGACCCACCATGGTAAACGGCACATTTCAAGGACTTTTATGAAATAGTGCGAATCTCTCATTTACTAACAACAACTGGAAAAAGGAAATTGCAAAAGATTGAATGATTCCATTACACACACGAACTAAATTTACGCAAACTTCTGAAATTGCACACATCGAAGTCATCATAATGAATGAGACCTGATCCAGGGCAGTACTCAACAGCCTACGCTGGCAAAAGCGTTGCCAACTCTCCCCAGACGTCCAGTGAGTAGTGAAACAACAAGAATTTACAACAGCACAATATTGGGAAATATAGTCCAAAATGGCGACCTCTAGATCCACTAGTAATCTTCCTAAAACAGTGAGAGGTTGGAGTGAACGGGACAAAACTATCCTTGGGATGCTATTCCGCAAAAGTACGGAGAGAAGGAGAAGGGAACTGTCTACGCGCTAACTACAAAGCGGATTCAAGCTGGCCGTCAAGCGTCGTTTCGAATGTAATTTCGTTACACAGCGGAGAGCACTACCGTAATCCACGCCAAGTTTTAATACTCTATAACAAATGAATGCCCTTGGTGTTTTGTTGCGAGGCTTCTATTTCTGTATTAGTCGTTGTATTTTCGCATAGTCAAAGAGTCAACGAGTCTATAATGTATGAATATGCATCATATGCTTCTCACCACTACTTAAAGACAAAGTTCACGATAAAAATGGTTCCTGAGAAATCTCCTCAGGATGAGTCTGTGGCCCCTTGTATAGCGTATGTGGCGCTGTAGGATCGAACAACCCAAATAGGGCGCTATAAGGGCTTAAGGATTGTATCGGTTGTATGCAACACCGGCGGCGGACGAGTTCTTACGGTACCGTACAGGCTGCGCTACTCATTAGGGACACCCATGCAGGAAGTTCAAGCAACTTGCAATGACCCAAGCAGACAAGGCAGTTTTAGACGATTCTGACTTGCTGTACTCACCTATTCGCGCAATTAATCGATAGAAATCTCGTCAGGATACCCCCATTCCATGCCATTTCCGTCGTGGTAATCTCGTACAACCTTTACACCTTTCAGTACTTTTGAAAATCCTTCTTTCTCTTAAAATCGTGTCGCTTTCTTGGCCACCGATGTACTATTTTCAAGCAGTACTTCTGCTTCTCGGCTTGAAAAGATTTCACGGGTAGTGATCAGCTTAATGAAGTGAGAGAAAGAGACTTGGGCTTATAATAGATAATGAATTGATGTTCGATTCTCCATTAGGGCAGTAAAAACTAAGCCGAGAAGAGGCGTATTCAACTGTTGAGGAGCCTACATACTAGGGATCCCGGCGTATTCATACTAGCTTACAAAATATATGTGCTTCCGATTCTTGAATATGGAACGGAAGTATTCTTCCCTCGAACTAAAAAGGACATAAAAGCAAAACAAAGTGTACATCAACCAATATATTGTCGATTGTTAGCCATCAATTCGTGCCATCTTTCTGGTAGCTTGTTGATTTGGTGTCTGCAAAGGTCTTGATCTTTTGGACAATCCAATCATCAACCCAGTTCGCACTTCTTCGGCATTTTGGAAGCGTACATCTGCCATACTGGCGCGTGGGCCGGAACAAGGGGTAATCCGAAAGAGCTGAATTCGGGAAGTATGCGGGCTAAGCAAGCTGATCCTGCGCAAGATTTTCAATTTTTATGAACATTTTTTGCAACATATACTGATGGTACAGCACACTGTAACTGTGCTCAGCAGTAACAGTTTCGTTTAGATTCAGTAGCTCGTAGTACATCCCATATTCTGATCCCACCAAATAACCAGCATCACTTTTGGCAAAGGATATTCCGCTTCGACTGTTAACCTGTTGGTTGGCCTGCGTCCACATGGCCTGCTTTCCGTTTTGGACTGTCGCAGTCGATCCATTGTCATCCACCGCTACAATACGGTAAAGAAAATGTGTCCATTCGTGGTTTCCAAAAAGTTTCACCTGCAAGCCTTCACGCGTGCTCCAAGCTGATTCTCTGACAGCTGGTGAAAAACCCATTTTCCTAGCTCTCGAATCTTTTCCATTGTTTACAGGCGTCCGGAAGTACTTGCACAGCTAACGTTCAGCTCTATTGCCAGCTACGTTTGGGTCTGAGCTGGATTTTCATCCAACAATGCTTGCAACTGCGATTCCTCTTTTTCGGCCGGCCTAGACGTTCCTTGTCCTATAAGTCGTTGAAACTATTCCCTGCAGATTCAATCAAATAGAGATTGTTCTTAATAAGTGTCGAATGTACATATAGGTGGGCTTCGCTGGCAGTACTTGAAACCAAACAGTAGAAGTAGAAGTGGAAGTAGACCTCGTAAAACGACCTATCACGTTCTACGTTCAATCAGTTTTAGAGCAACAATGCGAGCACTAATCTGTCTGCCCTTGAATAGGTGGTCA